ATCTAATAATCCTGACCATGTTTCATCACCTCTAGTTCACCGATCTTCACTCCCACTTGTACACTGCGTCTTTCTCCGGTTTTTCTATTGTGTTTTTAGACGATCGTTTCATAGATTGGATTACGTAATTCGAGTTTTGACCTTGCACTTTTCATATCACTTTCGTGAATAACTTCACATTTTCTTACACTCACTACTCGTTATTTATTTTAGTGTCGGAGAGCAGCTGAAGAGTTATAGTAAAGTTGATTTGTGTCGGTAACTCCTGATGCATTGTTTGTTTTGAAAAAGTATTAGATCCCGATGCAATCAACAGAGCCATTATTTATATCGATGTACCAATAAGAATTTTAAATTGAGCAAATCACTAGGCGCCCACAACGCCTTGGAACAGTCACGGGATTGGGTGGCTGCCAACACGCACGCATCAACCGGGTAGCCAATCGCGGGCATCCGAGAAAGTGTTTAGAGGTCAACGCCAGCACAGTCATAGCCACTCGCGATGACTGAATTCAAACAAAATTGGTGCATTTCCTGTCTTGCTTGCTCTTGTGGGGCAGGTTATATTGGTTGAAGAAGTATGGGCCTGTCTAAAAGAACGCGGAGGCGCCTTTCGGCATAGATGAGAAAAGGAGAAATAAAGACCAAAAACGACAGTTCAACCGTCGTTGCCGACGATGTCCACCGTGTTCTCCATAGCAAGTGAGAGCAGACACGGTGACTTGTACGTGAATTAGTTTATGGTGAAAGTAGACTTGCGTAGCATCTACCGCACTTCCTCCTCCCCTCTTGAGCTCGCTGTCAAGACGACCGGAGGTGAGGGAGGGCACGGATGGATGGCGTAGTCGAGCCCGCACCTTGGCGCTCCACTCCACACCCCGCAGTCCACACAACAAATCACCAGTATTTTAACCAATAACATCAAAAATAATAACAACAACGACAGCAGCATCAGCAGAACGATGAGGATAGCTGAGCAGCCATGCTCACGACCATGCCCACAACAATCATTTAACCAGGATTTTAACCAACAACAAAACAAACGGGTTAGAAAGAGGACGATGACTGGGCAGCCACACTCACGACCTGTATACCCAGCGGGAGCGCAGGCCCATCTACCGGCAGAGAACTAGGTGTCAGAGAGCTGTCAGCGCATACCAGGTTGCGAGGACCATGGTTTGCTGATCCGGACAGAGCAGAGGCCTACATACCTTTAGACCCAAGACAAACAGTGCCATTATCACTCATATTGCTGATTCCAGGCGTCATGCGTGTATAAACACAGCCTTCCGTGAGATTTACAAGGTTCCAACGACCTACTCGATGACCGAGTACAGAAGAGGAAGGTCATTGCACTTGTTAATGGACTGGGGGCCATTATGAGCTCATCGACGAGATCCGACCACACATTCAAATTCGACGAGACCGAAATTCTCGCAAGAGGTGACAATCGCGTGAGCCGGGAGCTACTTGAATCATGGTTTCTGGCCCCCAGTCCATTATCAAGTGCAATGAACTTCCCATTCCATACTCGGTGCTGAGTCTTCGCCTAGGCGGACTAATTAGCCACGCGGGGAGTGCACAGGTGAACAATTTTCCCGACACCAGGGTCGGTGCATCAGATGGTTGAGCAATCATTACACCAACGCCCAACGCACGTTATGAAATTGCAGCAATTAACGACGCGAATGTCGGCCATCAACCAGTCATCACACCACGTGCGACCATCCCCGATGAATGGGGGAGCCGTGAATGTTCATAGGTATGCGGTAGCATGGCGACTGCATCCTATAAGTACTGCAGTCCCCTTGTGCATGAATCACCCGTATCTGCTGTTGTCTCTGATGGTGGGTTCGAGCAGGAATCCGAAACATTAGGCTAATAAAGCCCTTGTCCCAGCGATCGTGTCTCCTTCTTCAACACCAGGCAAACGTCTACTACCAACAGCGGAGGCGACTGCCGTCAGGTTACAAAAGCCGGTCTTGTGAACACAAAAGAACCTGGCACAAGCCCCACGCTTGCCGTAGCCAAAGGCATTCACCCCCCCACGCCCTCATCCACCTTCTCCCTAACCCTCATTGTCTCCTAACGCATTGCTTCTTATTACCACCCCCCTCCCCCTACTTCTGCACCCAACTTGTGTGAAAAGACGAAAAGTAATTCCACATGTTTTACTTGCACTCCGTCCCCATATATTTGCACTGGCCCAGTGAGAATTTAATGAAAGCCCACGCGTGCTCGCCGAATGATCTTCCGAATTCTGGCTTCGTTTTGCAGCGCGCAGGTTGAAGTGTTATACATCGAAATGTGACACTTAAATTTGGATATTCTTCATTTGGGGGAAGCACTTAAGGTGTCCAGAAGGATTCTTATTCCATAGTTATTATGGTTTGGCCGAAGATGAGAGCATGTGTTCATCGGTGTTGTAAGCCAAGTTTGATGATCTTCTGCGTTTACAAGAATTGAAGACAGAGTTTTGGAAATCTCTAGGTAGTGTCGCACAGTGTCTGCAACAGCAATATGGATTCAGTGCGTGACCATCTGCTGCTTTCTGCAAGCCTAGAGATGCACAGTCACGACAAATACTCTCTGCGGATGTGATGGTATCGCTTATTCTACCTTCAAAGTCCCCTTACGGTTACAGGCATCAAATAGTCACTTTAGAGAGGAACTCCATTTCCTACTCAGTTGTTTGGCTTTGAAGAAAGTCGCAGGAAAAAGCAAATGTTATTTATTACGGTTGCGTGTCATCTTAGGTCTGTACAGCCTAGCCCAGGCTTCTTTGTCAGGTCCACTTCGGGCCAATATCGGTGTCGTCGTCGGGATACGCGATGCATGAAAGCATGAAGGAAGTAGGGGCATCATTCACAAGTAGTTTTACTAGCTGCCATCACCCCGGCTTATATGTCGTGCTCCACGCAGGCATTGCGAAAATCCACGAGGCCAACCTCGGCTAGAAAAGGAGACGAGGTAAATGGGTGCCGTATAGAAGAGATTGACAAATAGCGGGAGGGCGAGGAACCTCGAACGAGCCAACCTGGATCCGGCAAGAAATCGAGCTGACGATATTCTAAAATTACCGTAGCCGTGCTACTGAAATATGGTTAGTAACTCTATTTTAGCAATATTTTCCATCAGGCACGGGGTCGTTCTATTGCCCCTGCCACGTTCTGAACTGAGTTTTTATAGGCATTTCGTGCAGCCCTCAGCTAAACAACTACACTGAAATAATCTATTCAGACATATTGGATCCCCTCCACCCTTCGCCCATTTGACATCCGGAGCCCTCGAACTGTCAAACCGTTATTCTATGTACGCGACAGAGAAGGGTTAGGCAGCGGGGTAGCATGGACGAAATTCTAGGGAACTACAACGCAGAAGATAAACCCGCTAGGGTCTCCTGTCCACCGCAAAACGGAACTCCCTTAATTCATGTTACATTCCAATCAGATTGGTTAACGGTGCACTAGCACGAGTGATGAAGACAGTCATCAGGGTCAACGATGGGCAGGACCGCAGGAAATCATTTCACGGTACCCGAGTAAAAATCACTAGTTTATCTGTTTAGAGTTTTGGGGGCAGAGATGGCTCTCCAGCCTTCCTCGTCTTTGGACTTTGATTATCTCGTTCGCAAAATAGGCTGATAGACATTGCACTTTATGGGACATCAAACAATGCCCTGAAAAACGCTAAAAAGGAGAGAAATATCCCTGAATCGGAAATATAATATGGGATAGTATAGATAGTAACTTCGGGTCCCTTGCTGAATGCCTCACCTTCTTATTTTATCAAGTCTATGCATAAAAAATGGCATGTATGTCTTTCGCGGAGAACCTCCGCAGTCACACGAGACGACCCCACCCTCTCAGAAATAGCGACCAAGGAGGGCATTCAGTTCTTGATATTTTTGGGCAAATTGGATTCAGGAAACAGGTGCAGGCATTTCGGTAAGGAGGAGTTCTTCTGTACGTCGTTTTGCCAGATCTAGCGATATGAACGTGAACAGAGACGACACTGACGTCTGCCACTACCCCACTTGTCGTGTTGCCTCGTGATTTGTTTCGAAACTCCGTGGACTTCTCAGCTGAAGTCTCATAATGTTTTAGAAGTGGAGGAAGTTTGACAGACAGCCACTGTTAGATCCGGGATTTTTATGCACTGACTAATGACCCTGTCGGTCGCAGCGGGACGTCGGACGACAGTTGGTATCATAAACTGCTGCATCCAACTACACGCCTTCTAAGTGGCTATTCACCAACTCCATTCGGTTAGGAAGAATTATTAGACGTGATTTGAGAACTCTACAGTTTCTAGGCAAATTACGAAGAATCACAATTACACCGAATGAGGATGTCTTTGCCTATACCACGTGTTGCTGTGCGGTTGCCAGTAAGGCACAACGGGACGAGCGAGTTCCTTAAGGACGATCGGTAAGCACTCCTCTACCACAGCAAAAACTTTCTGTACTCAGTACCCTTCCAAAAGCCTAAATCACTTAAATGCCTACACCTCCGACAAAACTCTGCGAGCATGGTGTTTAAGCTTCGCAACTTACGATTAACTAATTCAACTAACTAATTCAACTTGGCGTGTCCTTATTGTGCACAATTTCGTTTGACTGGTAACGTTTCACCCCAAACGAATTAACTTCCTCATCATGCCTATGCAGACAAACTACAGTGAGTCGAGAGGAGATCCGACACCAGATCTAGATCACAACGGATAAAATGTGACGACCCAAGTATATACTGATTACACCCTTGACCTGGCAAATGAGCCAGAAACGGCCATTCCAGTCTCCCTTGTATTTGTCGGTAATGCTCCCCCTTCTTTTATTAACCCTGTGCTATAAGCTAATTTTAGCCCCCGAGAGGAAGAATGCTTAAGGCGAACTAGTTGTCTCGGAAGACAAAGTGGTACATCGATTATATTTTAATCATTCACTTTCGTCTATAGGGAGATACAATTAAATAAAAATTCTGTGCATATAAAAACGGCCATTATTTCTTCGAGAAGAAAGTTGTGATCGACTGGCTTCCTCGTGCAAACTTCGCCTTCTTGGTGGCGGACGGTGTGGGAGTCTCGAAAAGGGAGAGAAACGTTGTTAAAGTTGGTCGAAAATGAGCACAAAACTAGAACGAACGGATGTTGACTGCAAGACTTACCGGTTCTGTCTTTGAGACCTCAAAGCTTGCCGAGTAATCCTCCGTGGGCCCTCTTCTCTCATTGGCCTAAAGCGAAAGATGGATAGGGTGTTGTGGGTCGATTTAATACAAACAGAGGACTCCAACTCAAAGTTTATAGTCTTTCAGATTGTCACGGAATAAGCTGGGGATTTCAGATGAATGAGCACCGTATAACCACATGCAGGGGTCTACGAGTTAAAACGAAAGTCCTGGAGGGGGGGGGGGAGGCGATGCGCAGTATTTTGGACGGAACAGGAGCAGCCCACTATTTAGTGATTAAAAATGCTACTTACTTGTGTTAAGTAGGAAAGTTGTTAATGTTAATATGTTATCAATAACGCCGAAGGGAAGCTCAGACCCAGACAGACGCCGTCAGCAGCACCTACGCACACTCGCTCGGCGCAGGCGTACAGCGAATCTTAAGAATTGCCGATAAAAACCTTTGCGTAGGCGAATGGACCAAAAATAGCCACCCCAGCCACTCTCGTCTTTACAACATTTCCCCTGCATTACTGATTGCTCGTCGTCCAGTGACAGCTTCCAGGTTGGGACCACAATAAAAAACAGGATAGGCATGTTCTTCCTCACCCCCCAATGGGGTCGGTGAAACTGCACAGGAAGAGGTGCGGACGAAGACGAGGAAGGCTTCGGTCAGTCGTACTCAATTCCAGACTTGTGTGACTTGGAATCCGAACCTGGATCCCGCAGTGCTTGGGCATTAAGACCAGCGTTTCAATTACTTTGAACATTGAAATAAAATCAACCGTTTCTTTCAAATAATAAAGGCTCGTCACAGTTTCTACCGACAGGAGTTTCGAACGGACCCAAAGCAACAAAGCTACCATATTGTCGGTGGGCATGTGCAGGGTGAAGACTGCAAAATTATTTAAATCTACCAAAAACTTGTACTCAAGGCGGTTAGTGAATATCCTTCGCAAAAAATGAAACGACAAACCTATTGTAAGCCACTTAAACGGAGTGCCTCCTTATTTGCAGAGGTTGGATTTTTATAAATCCGTTTGCATTAAGTGCAGCTGCCGGATGGTTGAGTTGAAAGACCACACAAGGCAATCGCTGACAATATAGGCTTTCAGGAGTATTTGAACCATGATAAATTCAACATTTCACAGTTTGGGAAGAAAGTACAAAAAGGGAATATGCAAATACGTCCTAGCGCAACCCTACCTTGGGATTTTTTGAGTCTGACTTTGAAATCAACTCGGATGCCTGCAAAGTTGCCATATTTTCCTTATCAGCGGAAGGCAAAAGCTCTAGTCCGAGGTCACTGTGAAGCTGTTCGATAAGAGTCACCGGAAGGTTGTCAGCAATTATTTGGAAGGCGAATGAACGCAAGGCATCGCCATCAAAAGCTGCAGTCGCCAGGGCCTTGGCGCTCTTTGAATCTAAAAAAGCGATTGGACAAATTATTCTGAGTAAGAAACGAAGCTTTTAGTCTTTGACGTGGAAGATAAGTAGATAAACTAGCAAGTGGCCTGTGACACACGCTACTATTTGTTGTATTTCAGACTAGCCAGTGGGCATTATTGCACCTTCGTCCAGAGCGTTTTTGTAGATATACCATTACGCTGACACTACAGTAGACACCGCCACAATCCACAGAAATTGCGGCCCCATAGAAAACCTGTTCGTTTGACGTGGACCTGATCAAACGCCACAATCGAGAAGAACAATCAGCGACCATGCTTCCCTAGATCCAAAATCTTCTTTGACTGCATCACATCTGTCATATCCCTCCCCAGCATCCACCCTTGTATCACACCACTAGACATTTTCCCGATCGCTGTTGTAACGCGACAAATCGACACTACTTCTACGAAAATGGAACGATGTCGTGATTAAACGAACATGACTGTCGAGTTGTCCAAACCTACCCCTCTAGGAGGGCAACACATTCTATCTAAATACGAGCAGAATACATTATCTTAAGAACAACTAGCTAAGCAAGACAGGGGAGAAAAAGCGCAAGACCGATTGGCACCCAATAGCTAGTCACACCGTGCCAAAGTACCAAGGATTTTAAAATGCAAAAAAAGGGAGTGGATCAAGGGTGAACCAAAGTACGTCTCCTCTGTTATTGCATATCTGGACTTCCGCGACAGCCTACTGTCATCAGGATTACTCTGACACGAGGTGCCAAACTGTCAGTGGATTATGGGCAGTGGGAGGATTAATGAGACACGCTCGACACCTGGGACCGAACTGACAATGGTGACACGTGTGCCTCGAGCACCTGCGTAAGCCTGAAAAAGGACTATCGGACGGACGAAGATTTTCGGTAACAGAGCGGCAGGAAACATCAAAAAAGCATGAGATTCATAGGAGAGAAGGGTCATCGCCATGATAGACACTTCTTGTGCCCAACATGCCTTAGAAACCCCAAACTCCACTTATTTGTGACGCATACATGCACATGTGGCCTAATAATGAAGGTTTACAAAGGAAGACAAGTGTCAGCTTTGAAATAGAAAGATGCAGACGTACCAGATGCAAAAAGGGGCGCAGAGGCTGAGGACTGACTATGGACGGAGAGTAGGGAATGGAGGAGTCTACGTTCACCGGATGTGGAGAGTTCGTCGGTAAATCTACAAATGTTGTCCACGCGTTGCTTCAGCCAGACCTTCAGTTTATCTTTGTTCAATCGGATTACGTTATGGGAACCGATAGCTGTAGGCGAAAGACGAGAGTAGGTATGCAAAAAACAGCAAAGTCACTCTATAGTCTAATCAATTTGACATCAGCAGACATCCCTTACGGCTGAAAGCGTGTTGTTCGGCGGTGAATAATTATGCGGGGTTATCATAAAATTATGACCAGGATATATATGAGACACTCGCTTGTCGTAATGGAGACCACTTTTGAGACACTTTGAGTGCTGAATAGGAGAACGACTTAATGTCGAACGAAAACCAACACGATTTACAATCGTAATGTGATGAATAAACGCAGACCCTGACTATCCGGCAGGAAAAGTCGCCACTTACCTCCGAATTTTTCATCCAGGGCGAGACTAGCACTTGTATTAACTTCATGTCCCCCGTTAATTGCTCAATACTATTTTCAGCTTACTGTAAAAAGGTGTGCTTTCAACTATTTCTGCTAATACATCGTCTTATCCCTTTTTCGTCGATGTCAGTTAAAAACTTCAAGTAGTCTGTCAGCCAAATTCACCGTGAAGGCAACCCTGTTCTGCTCCGACCAAAGTACTGCGCGGGTGTAGATAGCTTCCATTGAAGATATTTCAAAGCTGTGGATATGCTTGGCACTCCCAAAGCCCACCCCAAAAGAGAATCCAGGAAGTTGACAAAGAAGTCCGCAAATTCAGAGAGTTATGGTCGAAATTTAATACCCTGTGAGACTCAACTCCATGACTTACAGTCTGGTATATGGTCTAGGATCAAAAGGGATCGTGGCAAAGTAAGTTCGGGGGGCTTCAGTGGAGTGAAAATGATATTGGTCATCATAGAGACAGATACTGCCGATCACGGAATGAGTTTCGCCGAGCCAAAATATGACTCAAGTGTTATGCACCCAGAAATCCGAGTCTTCAAATTTTCAGAGATGTCCTTAGTCGGAACGTAAACATCAAGAAATTTGGGAAAGCAGCTGCCACTACATGTCTCACTATGTCGGGCATGACACAGGCTAAAGCTTCGCCAGTGGCTACTTTTGCCTGTAACAACAACCCCGGGTTCTGTATACAAAAACTCTTCACCCCGGTGCCTTAAGTTTCCTGAAGATTGCGGCGCCACGAGTACATTCATTGCTTAGACGCTACGGCTTGTTTTAAGGGGCTGTGGTACACTCGGAATTTAACTTAAATATACCAGAAGCCAGTGCTTTTGTTTTTCGCGCGCGTACGGCGGCCGAACGCAATGGTGAGAGGACGACAATGTAGAAAACGGTTGCCCAGTTCAGAAACTCAGACAGGTGACGGAAAGGAGAAAATATAAGCCTTCAAGTATGCTAACAAGTAGTACGAACAAACTTCAGAAGTAATTATTTAGCAAACAAACTTACACTTTTTATCACATACTCGCTGGAGGCGGGAAAGAGAAGATTCAGTAAACAAGTGAGGAAGACCAGGCGCAATTTGCAGCCTCAATAAACCATCGGTTGTGGTGAATTTCTCCTGGAGTATCAAGCAAATAAAAGAGAGCAGACCATACCGTCTCAATTAACGCGGGAAGGAAGAGGAATGTAAGGTCTATTTCGGAGCAAACGTAAGCATGACCAGCTGCAGCAAATATGAATGACGACAAGAATACAACACTTCACTATATATTTATCCACGAACAGAGACCGCTTGGCGAAATCGACTCTTTGCAGACTGAAAAGCCTTTCGTCCAACGTTGACCAGACAAAGATTGTCTTTTTCCCTAAAAAAATAAAAAATTTAAACTAATCGTACCAGTTCTAGGATGTAGGAGTTTAACGAACTGGCATTTATTCAGGGAAATCACGGAGAGATCTAAAACAGGCAATTCCAAGAAAACTTCTCGCCAAACCAGTCCCAGGTGCGAAAAACAATTTCAGGTTGTTCATATTTGTAAGGGCGGTCGACCGAACAGGTAATTAAAAACATCAATTGGAGATGAAGGCGTTAGATAACCCAGGAACGAAGAACACGAGATTTTGGTTGTTTTTCTGCTAGAATTTTAATGGGCACAAATCTGGGGTTAAGTGGTGATTTTTTCAATACATATCTGAAGAGGAACGATTAGCAGAATGATTGCCAGGGCGAAATCAAAACAAAACAGATTGGTGGACTCCAGACGTCGCAGTAGGCTAAGCGAGTAACTTACCCCAAATGTGACTTAACTTACGTCTTCCGGTGAGGCCTTGTAGCTCAGGAGGTTAGAGTGTTGGTTGTACTAAGGCTCTTCCCTTGCTGTCATCGGTTCCAATCCCACCGAGGCGCCGAGTTTTTCACAACTGGGTCAATATGGATTATTCAAAACTAAACAGTTAAAGGTGATGCTATGAAAACTCTAACACCTCGACTGCCGGAGACTTTGTATCACAAAAAACAGCGGAAAAAACGTCGAAGTCAGATTGAGATTGATAAGACGAGGACATAGTGGCGGAAGATTGGTTTTAAGGTTAAGATGTGCTTAGTTATCACTTGTTACCACTTTGATGGAGGGAAAATTAGATTACAGGTTTATTTATACGATATTCCCCGACATTATGAGAGCACGCTCTACAGGTGATCTTTTGAATCGTCCGAAGGACAGTATGTGCAGTAGGAAAACTTTATGGTATATTCCGTTCCACAGAGCCAGCACTTGTTTATGTTGACAGTAGCGCAGACAGTTGCAGTCCACTCAGTCTCCCAATGCACATAAGTTAACAAAAAATGGGCTTCGACCATACAGCTCGCCAACTGCACCACAAACGATGGCTTACGTACAGAGGTATTAAGGTCGCTGGAAAGAGCTACTTAATATCTGTAATACAATTTAAGTATGACTTCTATGGGAGGACTTTAGTCTTTCATTTTCCAAGTTTAGCGTGGGACCTAAACCCCGAAAATCTTCTTTTAGATTGTTGTGGTCAAGCGATGTGGGTGTGTAGTCCGACCTTTACCATAATCAGGATAAATCCTATATTGGAAGGCGAAGACAGAAGGAGCTATAATGAGAGGTTTATTGTATGCAAAACTCGCGACTCTCCTCTCAGGCGGCAGTGGCCACTGGCGAATCTAAGGCTGTTTTTGACTGCGTTCAGTCATGTTTGAGAGTCCCTGGGACAGTGGTGGTAGCCGCTTTTGTAGGCTTGTGGGCCAAGCTCGTGTGGTGTACAGTCAATTTGTGTTGCGTTTGTCGATGGGTGGTGTACCAGTGGCTTAGGTTTTGGTTGCAGGGGACGGTGTGTCCAAGTGGCCTTATGGGCATCTGCGGCTGTGAGGACGTAGGTATGCCTGAGCTGTCGGTCGTGTGACTCCAGGTCAGCGTGTCTGTAACGGCCCACTGCAAAGTGTGAATGACCTTGCGGTAGTAATATCCTGAACAATGACACCAGACCGGACATGATGGCTGCCCGCTACAAGACCTTACCAGAGAGCAGAGCGTCATGGCAGCTGAAGAAAGTGTAGTTTGTGATCTCCATGCCACAGCATGACGGTGGAACATCCGCACATCCGAGAACGAAGATTGGACAAGAAGCTCTAATGATCAATGACTAAAGTTTCATATTTTATCAAATCTCCTGAATTTCCGAGGGCTGTTTTGTAATCTAAGTCACTCGTAACGTGTAATGTTTGCTAGTGCTTGCGAATTTACCTCTAAACCAAAGGGAATTAGCTAAGGTTTTAGGCGAGTTACATAAGCCTAGGTAACTTAAGAACTAACCATATGGCGGCTCCTAGTTTAGCTCATTTAGAACACTTTATAGCCTGCAGTACTCAGCTTGTACAGACTGATACAAAATGCTGCGGTTGCAGCTTCATCAGCATTGTAAAGATCTTAGAGAAGAGATCGGCTTCAAAATCACAATGACTTTTTGATTGCAGAAATAACATCGTGTATTTTTCACGTTCGAAAAGCGAGTGGACGGCTCTGTGGCACTCGAGATCAGCATACCGAGATCACTTTGGACCTAGACATGTTCAAAAATTATCTCGCTGCGAACTAATCCTATGTATCGACGGGTCTGTCAGAGCTACCTCAGTGAGGCGAATTTACCAATTTTGAACCTTAGTTAATCAGTCCCGCACCTAATATAAGTTGTCCTGTAGTCTAACTTCATCAGTTGTGTTACAACTCCATTGGTGCATTCGCATGGTCTAAATATATTGCTCTTTCATAGTCTAAAGGTCTAGCACAATTTTCTGCGCCTTTGCAGAATACAAAAAATCCCAGTACTGAGACCACTGACGGTCACAGAAATATATTTCGACTAGTTCGCGTAAACAATCTAGAAGATATCAGTTAGGCGCAGTATGCAGCCCATATCAGCCTAACTTCGTAAGGAACGGACGCAAATCTCTGATGGCCGTCTAGCGCTACATTCCTCACCTTGTGTCGGTCAATTATGAGCCATTTCTCAAACGAACTTCTCGCCTCAAACCAATGGATTTGAACCGACACTTCTGACCGAACCACACTAGTATTGTCGAGTATTGCCTTTGAAATATATTTCCGAGGACACGTAGTTTTGACGGAGAAACTATAAGTTATAATAGTAGTAAAATTGGCCTATTTCTCCACATTCGAACATTGTCAGTCTGCTTCGAAAACAGGGAAGGAAACTTAGCATAAACACATTTGCTTCCTTTCGATTTTAAATAAAGCCTAGGTGTGCTCAAGATTGCGTGACGTGGAGTACACTTCAGTCAAAATGAACCTGGGATCAAAATCACTAAAACGACAATGTGTGAACTTAGTGCATTACTGGAATGGATTCCGCTGTATGGTAGCGTTGGGGGTGGAGGATGGATGCGTTCTGGCTTAATGATTTAGCAACCGATTAATGATTCAGTCCAACCGATATCAGAAAGTCAAGGTCGGTAATAGCTACTCGACAACTCACTCGATCACGAGTGGTGTACATAAAGGTACGGTTCTGGGTCCGCTAATCTATCTTCATTACAGCAATGATATTTCGACTGAACTCAGACATTCGCAAACTTTTATTTATACCGATGACCTAAAGTGCGTTTACCCATGTTCCAAGGACACAGAAAATATTTGTGTTGAAGAAATTAATGCCGATTTACTACGCTTAAGCAGATGGAGTTCAACATGGCGGATGGTTTTTTTATCATCTAAGTGCAGTTTCATGTCTTTTGGTCCTGCCAAACTTCCTCGTCCCATAATTTTTCAGAATAACCCACTCTCGGAGTGCTTCACCATAATGGACCTAGATCAAAGTTATACAAATAAACTTGCTTTATCACCTCATACAGATAGAATATCTGCCAAAGCCGCACATATATATGGGTTCATATCGCATAGTTGTTTTCTTCCGAAAATGAAGCTAAGACTTTATCAAACGTTTGTTCTTCCAGTCCTCGAATACTGCTGTCCTTTCTTTGCCTTAATGAACGCTTGTGACCGTAATAAGACTGAAAACGTTCAGAGGGCTTTCACCCGGAAACTGTTCTCTCAAGTCGCATCACGTACTTCTTATACTCATAGATGTCAGTTGGCGAACATGAAGTTTTTGCGGGTTAGAAGACTCGAAGCTGGCCTTTGCTTCCTTTTTCGCATCAACTGTAGCTCCAGGCTTCCGCTCATTGACACTCTCACTCCGAGAGATTGGTCTTATGCCACGCGCAACTCCTCCATGGCGATTCCGCCACTTTTTTGCACTTCATCAAAGCGCTCCCTCTTCTTTGCTCCCAAATATGCATTCCTTCCACCAGACATTAAACCATCACCTAAGTTATCGGTATTCAAATCTAACTTACGCAAACACCTTACACCAGATATTATAAAGACACTTTTAGCGGTCTCATTTCCGAACACTCAGCTTCTCGACTTCTAGAAGGGTCCTCCTGGTATTTATTGGTAGATCAAGTGGAAACCCTCAATTATATCATTAGAAACCCTGTTTTTAATTTGTTTCTAAATCACTCCTCCCCATAGCGAAGATTTTCGTGGTTCTTGATGTCATCTCATCACTATGACCTCAAACGGTCTGTCGACGCCTACGGCGGAACCCTCGGTATTCGCCATCTACTAGTAGTTTGGTCTACCTCCCTTCCCCACTCCTCGGCTGGGCTCGAAGCGTACTGTGGCCGATCGCGTCTGGGTTCCTCTCGTCTGGCCTCTTGGACGCAAATAGTCTCATGCGACTTATCAATCCTGCCCTGACGATGTCAGTTCTGAATCCCGCATACAATACCACATGCAGGCCAGTCCTGTCTGACCCGCATACGTACCCCTCAAGGCTGAGATTTATTGCTACCCTGACGATGACCGACAACATTCAGTTATATACCGTCACCTACAGGTCAGTCCTGCTAGCTTTTTTCTGTCATTATTTTTATTGAGGGTTTTTTTCTCCTGTAAAATTAATCCAATCACTTTTTACTTTTTCAGGAGTTTTTTTCACCCCCCCCCAATCATCATGTTTCTCAATGGACTACTAATTCAGAAACTATGAATTGCATACTGTACAGATTTTGCCTACCTCGTCTAAAATTCGCATGTAAAGTTATTTTTACTTGCTTTGGTGGGACCCCGATGGGCCTATACAAAATTATTTTATTTATTTTTTTATGGAGGGAAACTTTTCTTAATGTACAAAAAATGATATGATTATGACCAAAACTAACAGCTCTGTTCAAATTTATTAGTCTCTGACCGGTCTATTAACATGTGGCTTATGAAAACTTTTATTTCTGTGGCTGCCCTATCGGCGAAATCTAACGAAGATCAATTTTTCTTAATCAACTGCATCTCAAACAATACAAAAAGCAGCTGATTCTCATGATACTGTGTTGAAATCTATTCTCACACTGTTGGCTGTTGGCTAACTGTCATATTTGTCATGCCACTTATTCATGAGGGATACTTAAGTGCAAACTTCACTAAAGG